ACTCTGTGTGATCGCATCAGACGGCAGCCCACCAGGCTCCCCCGTCCCTGGGATTCTCCAGGCAAAAACGCTGGAGTAGGTATATGAAATTAGTGAAATAAAAAAAACAGTGACCAAGAAACAAGCTGTTAATTGCACAGGAAACTCCAAACATAGCTGAGTTCACAGGTGTAAAACTACCAAGAGCATGAGAATGATCCTAATTTGTATATTTGCCTAAGATAGTAACTATTCCCAACCATTATCTTTGTTAATGGCAGTATGGAAAAAGACAAACCATGGGACACCCAATTTTTTTGAATTGGTGTAATAATTAATTACAACTCTGGCCCAGTAATTAAGTTGTCAGTCACCTTGCCAGAGAAAGTGCAAAGGCATTTAGGTGGTTCATTTAAGTTTATGATTTCAAAATATTGAATTAGGCACTGTGGGTTGGAAAGGAACATAGATTAGTGAATTAAACAGCAGACAACACCTCAGCCAAATAAAGTTCCAGTCCTGGCACAGCTTTTGAATTTGTTGGATGACTTGAACAAGTCACTCAACCCCGTGTCCTTCAAGTCTCTGGCAGGCAAGTACCCAGTAACTCCGTGAATGTAGAAGTAGTAGTTAAACAGAACAAATATTTGTTCAAGTTATTATAGTTGATTTACAATGTTGTGTTAATTTCTGTTGTACACCAAAGTGATTCAGTTATAATGTGTATACATTCTTTTTCCTGTTTCTTTTCATATAGTTTATCAGAGGATGTTGAATATAGTTCCCTGTGTTATATAGTAGGACCTTTTTGTTTATCCATTCTATATATAACAGCTTGCATCTGTTAATCCCAAGCTCCTAATCCATCCCTCCTCCACCCCTTGGCAACCACAGGTCTGTTCTCTATGTCTGTGAGTCTGTTTCATAGGTAAGCTCATTTGTGTCATATTTTAGATTTCACACATAAGTGATATCATGTGGCATTTGTCTTTGACTTCACGTTGTGTGAGAATCTCTAGGTCCGTCCATGTTGCTGCAGATGGCATTATTGTGTCCTTTTTATGGCTGAGTAGTATTCCACTGGATACTTGTATACATTGTGTATGTATATATACACACACACACATATATACACATGGGCTTCCCTGGTTTAGATTTTTCAAGGTTTAATAGTCCCTCTTCAGGTATTTATTCTGGATAAGAAATGATGGTTGGTTTTACCAGAGTGATGGGAAGAAAAGTGGATTAATGTGTAAGGCCTTTAAAAGGAAAACTCAATGTGGCTTGAACTACTGGATTGGGAGAGGTGGGATGAGGGAATAAAAAATGACTCATAGGTTTCTTTCTGGCTTGTGTAAATGAATGATGTTGTCATTCACCAGGATGAGGTCCCTGGAAGAGCAAATAGGTTTGTGGTGACAGAAATTCATATGCTCAATTTAGGGTATGTTGGGTTCAAGATGCATTTGAGATATCCAAATGGAGATTCCAAAGTAGGCGCTGACTTACAGACCTAGAGGAACAGTCTAGAAGTAACAATCTGGGAGTCATGGGATATTCAGCAATTTAAAGCACTGGTATAGGCAGAACTGTAGGGATAACAGTATATGGTAAGAGGGCCTCAGACTGTGCCTTTTGAAAGGAATTGAAACATTTGAAGTCCATGTGGCAAATGTGAGTGAGATGCTGTGATCAGATGATTGATAAGAAAAGCTGGGAGAAGTGAAAAAAGAGGAGTATTTCAAGATGGTGTAAAGGAGTAATCAGCAAACGCTGTGGCTTTGGGCAGTACCTGTAGTCCCGACTTCTTTGTTAACCAGAGGGGTATCATCTGTCTGCGTATCTGAGGGAACTGCCATGATGCTCAGATCTCATACTGCTTGAGAAATGTTGAAATCTATCAGTTATTTTATCATATAATCACTCTCAGTTCCCAGAGATGTTTTTTGTTTTGTTTTGTTTTAAATAGTTGGACCGTTCACACTCTTATCTTACTCTTCCAGGCTTCTTTAGAACAATAAAGAGCGAAAAAATATGAATTGGAACATGATGCTATTTGCAGTTCTTTTGCAGAATTGCATAGGATGTGATTGTACTCAGGATCTGGAATATTTCTCCCATTTGCTTTTCTCTCCTGCCTTTCCCCTAGGAACCTGGAAGTCTCCTTTAGGACCTGTGGGTATAGGCTTGAGCACCTCAATTCTGTCAATAAAACGATTCGGTAATCAGTTCCCTGTGATTAAATGGTTAGCCACAAGGTAGAAGCATCGGGTATTCAGGGAACACCTTACTGGTACAGTCTTCCCTCACCTTTAGTGTAGGGACACATCACAGATCTCCCCACTTGGACTTCCATGGTGGCCATCACTTACTCTCAGGGAGAGGGAGGGCTAGAGAATGGCCCTCCCCACAGAACAGCGGCACTGACGCGCTTCACCCGGCGATCATCCCTCAGCCTCACTGCGGAGGAGAGGAGACCTGGCTAGTACCAAACCCTTCATCTTCCTCTAAGTCACTGTGGCAACCATTCCAACCACAACAGACTACTGTATACAAATGATTCATCCCCAGCCTCCTGCTTTCCTTTAAAGAGTCAGCTGTCATGTGCTGCCCTGACTCACTCGCCTTTGCTCCAGGGAAATCAGCACTCTAAAGATTCCTGAGTTCCAGGCCCCTCCCAAGCCAAGAGCCTCACGTTGTTTTTATGATGATGCAGCACAGAGGCATCCTGGCCACCTCCCATCTGCCGTCCTGCCAGCTCCAGCACCACTGTCTCTGAACATAAGAACTAAGAAGGCAATTTGTGTCACTTTGATTATGCAGGATGAAGATTAAGCCAGTTGTAGGGATACCAACTGTTGAAGAGCTAGTATTTGCATTGTTCAGAGTGAGACATGGCCATGCACACCCCACGTTTCTAATACCATACTATGCTTGTGAAGGAATCCAGAGACTTTAAGAGAGTGACTCTGAACTTCTCACACTGTGTAAACTAACTTGGCCTAATGAAGCTCTTCAAAGGGCAGTGATCTTACGTCCATTTTTGTTGTTGTTGTTCTAAAAAATTGACATTGTTTTCTAAACTATAGTTTTTACTGATTAGCCACCCAGTGTCTTAGAGAATCTATTAGTTTTAAACGAGGATTTAATTCAAGGAGTAAGTTTTCATAGTCATATTTTCCTAATTTCATTTTCTGAGCTCCCCACGCCAGTGTCCTGTATATTCTGGAATCGGGTCAGCTGTCATGCCTTTTTGCCAAATGTTCACACTGTTGAGGCCAGAGACAGATGAATCACTTATTACCTAAATAAATTTAAGCTAGAATGTGCCACCGGCACCGTCGTGCTATAGAATTATTCCCTGACACTCCTCCTGTCAGTATGCTTTCATATTTGCTATATTATAGCTATTCATTCATCAAAAGAGCACGGGCAAGAAAAGTTTTAAGTGTGTATAGGAACTAAGAAACTCTTATTTTGGAATCTACCCTATATGGTGATTATTTTTTTTATACTATCAACCTTGACATTGTTAGTAACCATTTTATCAAGAAACCATATTTTATAAGGTAGTCTCATATAGTCTCAATGAAGTCATTAGTTTTTACAGAACACTTATTTTAAATAAGGAATATTTAAACCTAGATAACCTGGAGTTTTGAAAGTGAGTATAAACATTTAAGTTTGTGGTTAAGAATGTACTTTAAAAAGATCAGATTCATTAAAAATGCAAACTGGTTGCCTTTAATCAGTAAGAACTAAAACCAGACTTCAGTTTTTTCTATGATGAACAGCAGCCTTATTACCTCACTATAGTAGAGTGGAAATAACTTTTTGTGATTACCCTCAGTGTATTTCCAGTGATTTAAGGAAGTACCACAATGTTCTTAAAATTCAATGAAATTTAATTTTTAAAATATTTCATGCTTTTATTTCATTAGTAAGAGAATAATGTTCTGAAATCAGGAAAAGGTTTTCAACATCAGTTGGCCAAATTCACAAACTTATTGAGCATCCGTTTTATTAAAGACATTGGATAAAGCTTTTTAGAGGATACAAAGAAATAACATGTTCTTTGCCCACAGGGAGCTTTTAATCTAACTAGGAATACATTAGAGAGTCAACCAAGTTTAGTAACAATTTACAACAATAATTTAACTAAAGAAATTGTCATGGTATATAGTATATCCTTAATTGCCAAATAATACAAAGTAGGCTTTCCAAAAAGGAAAAGACAGATGAAATAGGTGGAATTTGAGCCAAGTCAACTATTTTAACAATTTTACCAGTTGTGGGCTAGGAATAGAAGCAAATCATGTTTGATGTCAGTGTTGACAGCTTACAGGAAGGCTTCTAGCTCCATCCATAGCATTAATTCATACATTGTTTTTCCAATTTACAGTTTACGGAAGGCCATTTATCTACACATGATAGCAATTACAGTGTTAGCATCCCCTTTCATAGAGTTAGTTGAGCTAAACAGTAAAATAATAATTTTATATAAATTGAATGTCTCAATGTATTTCAGCAATACTATGAAGAAAGACGTATTAGTAACATGATACTTTAAGACTGTCTTTTTAACTAACACAGTTGTTAATAGTAAGAGAAAAATGTTCATAAACTCAATCATGTTGAGATGAAGATAATAAAAACTAATTTGTAAAAAAATACAGCCTTGACCTTCCAGGTGAATGTCGTTTCCTAACAAAGGGGATGTAGTGGTGCTTCCCCAACATGAACCTGTTCACTCGGGTCCTGTTACGGCTACACTGTGAGTCTCTAGGTCTGAAGTAGGACCCGAGAACAGGTTCCTACTGTTTCTGCCAGGCTCTCGGAACAAGGACCTAACATTGATCTGGGAGCTCTGGGCAGCAAGATTATAGAGGAAAACACCATGATTCTGAGAGGGCTGTGTCTTAAATGGGTAGTACCCTGTTTGAGGAAAATAGTATCATTAGAATAATCTTATATGGCTTCTACCCTTTATTTCTCACCCAATTCTCTGTCTTTGCCTTTAGCACGAAAGCAAGAGATTATCAAAGTCACTGAACAACTGATCGAAGCTATCAACAATGGGGACTTTGAAGCTTACACGTGAGTAGAAGAACATTTATTTTGCTTTCATGCATATGACTAAGTGTTTTCTATATGAATGCATTTTTCAGTGTACCTGAACTCATGTATATTCAACCCAGGTTTGATACAGTAGGTAGGTTTGATACCTTCATTTCAAGGTATAAATGACTTAAGTGCCCCAGGAGAGAAACAAGCATATTTAAGATTGCAGAGAGAGATTAGACTTCTGACAGGAAAATTGGGGATTTCTTTATCAGAGCTCATCTCCATGTGAGAGAAGGCTTTGCAAGCAGAGCAGTCCATGAGGTTAAAAACAAAAGAAACGGGAAAGCACAGGAAAAGTGCATCTGGGTTTAGGGGTGGTTTTCCTCACTTCTGCAGAGGTGATGGGACAGAGAGAAGTCAGGAGGCAACATCCAGTACAGCTGAACTTTACCTTCATCTCACAGAAATGAGAAAGTAAAATGATTGGGCTACCTAGAGAGAGAACTTACCTATTGTAATTTTTTGAAGCCAAAATAAAACTAACAAAGTATTTGTAAAATGTACCTAAAATTAATTTATATTGAGACAATAAGATTGGAAAATGGAAAAATAGGTAAAGGACCTGAACTGACCATTAGCAAAAGAGGAAATATAAATGACAAACTAATGAGACCATCTTGATGCCCACTAATCAAGTGCAAATCTGAATGTAGGAGATTCTCTGCCCCTCAGATGAGCAGGGATAAAACCCCCGCTGACCACAGAGGGCAGCAGACTGCAGGACCCCAGTGGCTTGCCCTCTGCCTGACGGGATATGATGGGGACACTTTCATGGTGGTGGCAGCGGCTGGGGCTTGGGTCACAATTAGTTATTATACACCAGAAAAGTTATAAAGGTCCAGATTACTACTTTAACCCTGTATTTCTAGCTATAAAAATTTAACAGGGGCATGGATTTTGAATTTTAAACAGGGACAAAAATTGTGAACAAAAGATACTGCCTCTGGGAGATGAAACTGTGGGGTTTTTTTTTGCTTCTTTCCAAGTTTTATATAAAAGATTTTTTATCAGTTACAAATAGATAAACAAATATAAAGTATGGAAGACAGTAACTGAATATAAGAACTAAATTAATCCCAGGACTGCCTCTTATAAATTTCATGTGTGTGCAAACATGAGTATATACATATATATGTGTGTGTGTGTGTATCAGTTCTTTAACATGACCTAGTAAGAGTATATTTAGAATGAAAGAAATAGTAAGAAATGGAGTTTTTAAAAATACTGTTTGTTGTTAGAAAATTAAACAGTTGAATAGTTGTTAAAGAATTGTTTAGAATCCTGAACCATAGGACCAGCTCTCTTTTATTCTTTTGGTTGATATAACTTTGTTAGATCCGTATGATTCCTCCAATATAATACACTTTAAAAAATATGTCAATAGCTTTCCCCTGTGGAATGGTGGAGTTTGTCAGCCAGGCCAAAGTGGCGAAATATAGCACTTGCTATATTCTCAGACACTTTAAAATAGGGTGTTTTAAATAATTCAGCTCCTCAGCTCACTAATTCCTTTTCCTGTCTTCTGGCTTGGTTTTGTACACTCACGCCCAGTAGTTAACGCAGAGCGCCTCCCATTTGGGGATGGTAGGAGGTATCAGTAAAGCTGTCAGCTGGTCCTCAGAACACCTGTTGGAGCATGCACCCCCATAGGTCAAGGAGCAGTTTGTGACTCTCTTATTAATCCAAAGCCTGTGATAAGAGAGAGAGAGACATGCATTACTTACTTACATAGAGACAGAGAGAAAGAACACATTAATAAGTTTTCAACTATGTTGACTCAATGGTTGGGTAAAAAGATCCATCATAGCATAGTGATCCTCAGATGATTTTGGTGCTGATATAAAGTAGTAAAAAATTTTGATTCACTAATGTTGACAACCAAAAGTCTATTTATAGAGAAATAATAGCCCCTGGCAGAAAACAAGTCCTGTTACCATGGGAACACTGTTCTTGCCATTTTGCTTCTTAAAGATTATATATATTTAACTTTGAGCTTTAATACCTGCCCACCAGGAAGTCTGAGTGTTTAAAATCTCTACCTACTCCCACCCTATCCGCACCTGAGGCTTTCTTTACCACAATGAATAAACCACTGTGATATCTTGCTTTAAAGAGTTTTTTCTACTTTAAAAGTATTCTTTAAAAAAATCAGTTCCAAAATTCCATGAACTGTACTTTTAAGAACCATAATGATCTTTTTAAAACTTGTATTCTTGTTAAAAACGTTTTAACTTTTCATCTCCCACATGGGGAATTTCTGTAGGAAATTAGATGACGCCTCACCAAATTAATGGTCCAAAATCCTTCAGTATGCATTCTTTTTATCTAAGTTTGTGAACTACTAAATTCTTCAAATCCAGATTTTAGGCGCCTTCTCTAAGACACCTACTCTGATCGAACAAAACCGAGAAGTGTTTTCTCTGCTGTCTCCGTGGGACTTACAGAGACCCCCAACCTCAGCGCATCTGCTGGCTGTCACATCACTCCCCAGCCGGACTCCAGCGTGGTCTTTGCCGCCCTGTCCCTCTCCACGTACCTGGAAAACTCTTACTCCAGAAAGTGAAACTCAGATTTTTCTCTTAAATCTTTCCTATCTCACAGATAAATAATCTGAGTTTTGGGCACTTTGTGTTTATTTCCATTCCAGTATTAGTTGTTTGTTTCAAAGAATATCTGCTACATAGTAGGTATTTAACAAATTCTTTGCTGAATTTTTTCAAGAAAGCCCTTTGGCTTTCCCTGAATATTTAAAATGGTTTGTTTTTTTTTTCTTGAATCATGATTCTAGGATTAAAAAGTAAACTAATGTGCATCTGAATCTCTCAATTATAAAAGTTAATTAAGCTTGTATTTAAAGTTTAAGTCTTGAGGACATTGCCAGAAAATGTAAGATGTGACACTTACCTTCACATCAGTCTAAATGACCGTTCACATGAATGTAGATAGTATCAGATTATTCCAAAAATATTTAATTTCCAAGGCAAAGTTTATTTTATAGGACTTAGCATTTCAAAAATAAACTTTATAACAACTAGAAAACTAGGGAATTATAAAAACTGGGGAAAGCCTAGAGAATTCCCCTTGCAAATTAAAAATTAGAAATGTTTTGAAGGAAACTCCTAAAGCATTGTAGATTATCAGCTGCTGGAACTGGTTGTATTATCTTTTCCTTATCTGAGGTCACTGCAATTCTTTTTTAGGGTTTTCTCTTCAACCCGGCCTGTGATAGAAACTTTATGTTTGCAGTGTTTTTTAAGACTCTTTCCTTCAGTGACTGTTTGATAAATTAGAAATGGATATGTGTGGAACAACAAAATACATTAACTCATTATTTTATTTTTTTTTTCCTACAGAAAAATCTGTGACCCAGGCCTTACTGCTTTTGAACCCGAAGCTTTGGGTAATTTAGTGGAAGGGATGGACTTTCATCGATTCTACTTTGAAAATGGTACGTTTACTTGAATATCATGCCTTTTCCAGCTTCTCTGAATTTCTCCAGAATTTCTAGATTCTTTGGCTCTTTCCTGCAATGAGCATTCTTACTTTAGTCCAGCATCCTATATCATAATATTGTAATTTGAAATAAAAAATCACAACAGCCGTAAGCTTTGGTATGTTTTGAAAAATACCTAATTTTATATAAAAAGTGATGGTGATTAAATACACCCCATAGAAGTCCCAGTAAATGTATAACATAAGCTGTAAAATGTTATCAAAAAGTATACTTAAAAATTTATTAATTTTTAATTTAATTATTAAAAAATTAAAAAATTTAATAATTAAATTTCAGGTTTTCAAAACATTGTTTATATGAAAAAATAAGAGAAATTACAGCATGCCAGAATATTTGCCATAGAGAAGAGTGCTTTCAAGAATAATAAGTAGTGCTCATTTTCAAGGTAAAAATGTATATGAAGATGAGTAATGAGGTAAATATTTCAATTCAGAGTACAAGAGTTTTAATGGTATCAGATGAAATGGCCACATTTCAGAGAAAGTGATAAAAGAAACTCCTGCAGAAATCCTTCAGGTCACCAAAAAAAGTATAAAATAGAAGTTCCTCTTATCCTTCTCCCAAAGGCATTAGGTATAAGGTGTTTGCATGATGCAGGGAGTAAATTCACCTTTTGCAATGAAATTTTTATGAATTAAAGAGGAATCATAGTAATGATTCAGATAATCAGGTTTACATCCAGTAATTATAAGCATTGACAAGAATATTTGCATTGGCATGCATTTCTACATTCGATGAATTGCTTTTTCTTATATGCAATAGATATTTTCAAGGAAACAAAGATAATTATGTGGTAAACTGGCCTTAACAAAACTTCAGTAGATGTTCTTATATTCTCTTTCATGCTATGATTGACAGCATGTCATAATGTTTTCTTCAATAGACTAGCTTGATACCACCTCATCTGTAGTAAAATAATGAACCCATTAATATTGTAACCTACCTTAGCATAACACTGTACTTCATTACTCTCCATAAATACATCTTCATAATAATGGGATATTGTTTTTTATCGGACTGTAGCAGTAAGTAATTAATTCAGACCTTTCCTGGGAATGAAGGATATGTTTGGATAACAGGTAAAACAGTTCTGCCTGTTTTAGTGATCAAAGAGTAGCATCAGTCAATATCTGCACTAAATCTTCATCTCTCTTAGTCACTGAACAGTCAGAATAAATAGATGTCAAAACAACAAAGGCTGGAGCCTAGTGAGGACTGCTCAATCAAAGGAGAGAGCTAGAGGATCAGAATCAGGCTATATGGCCAACACCAAATTTTGGATTTTTACTGGCTAACCGTAATTGGACTGCTAGAATGGACTGTACCAAATAAAGAAGCCACTACTGGATGAGATGAGGAAACTGATTCACCCTATGGCCAGCCTATTTAGAAGATAGCAGTCTCCATGCTTAAGACATGATGTATTTCCCTTGCCCCATGTACTTTACCAACTAGCAAAAAAAAAAGAACCAGCCCACAGGATATCCTGTCAACTGTCCTCGCAGTTCCTTTACTGGAAAAAAAGAAACTGCTCCGCGCACCTGGGCCAGCCCTTCTCCACCGCTTCCCACTATAATTACGCCTCTCCAGCTTTTTCACCCAAAGTTTGAGTGGCGTACAATTTAACCCCAAAGAAAATAATGGCTGTATCTACTTCTGATCTTTTTCTTTATACTTTGCACAGTACAGGCACTCAATTATTCGCAATAATGAATAGTTGAATGGATGAATGATATTCTATTTATTGGTCCCAAGTGAAGTTATTACTGGTTTCAGTTTACTTTGCATAGAAACTAAGTTCTCTTTTCCATATTCTCTTTCAGCTTTGTCCAAAAGCAATAAACCCATCCACACCATCATCCTGAACCCTCATGTACACCTGGTGGGCGATGACGCTGCCTGCATCGCATACATTAGGCTCACCCAGTACATGGATGGCAGTGGGATGCCGAAAACGATGCAGTCGGAAGAGACACGCGTGTGGCACCGCCGGGACGGGAAGTGGCAGAATGTTCATTTTCATCGCTCGGGGTCGCCAACAGTGCCCATCAAGTAAATATTTCCAGCTGTCAGCCTCCTTGTTAATAGCCCATGGTCAGCGCCTGTTCCTATTCCATTGTTAATAGCCTGGCATCTGTTCTTTAATGCTAGTGGTTAGTTATACTGGTGGGAATCCATGTTTCATAAGAATCAGTCTATAATTCTCTGGAAAGATCAGACTAGCTATTTGTTGGTTGAAACTTGCCCTAGAAAGTATACAGTCATTTTAGATAGGGTTAAATCAGGGAGAATTCATGTAATAAGGTAAATAATTTATACAACTTCATTGTCACATATTGGCAAAGGACGGGGATGTGGAAGGAAAAAGTTTCTAAAATGGCCAAAACACTCAAACGTCTTTACTCAAAGATTCCTCACACACAGTTTCAACCAGTCTTGGATCAAAAAGTTTCAAAAAGCAGAACTTAAATTTGCCTTGCAGGTAAATGATTTACATAGCATTGACATTGTATTAGTGATTACAAGTAATCTCTAGAGATTGTACACAAGAGGATGTGTGCAGGTTATATGAAATTCTACACCATTTTATATAAGGGACTTGTGCATCTGCAGATTTTGGGATCCTTGGGGGCTCTGAAACCAATCTGCTACAGATACTATGGGATGACTGTATCGTATAAGGAGCTTCATTTCATAGATTTTTCTACTGGTGCTCTATTAAAGATATTAGGAGAAGCTTATGAAACAGCATTTAAAATGCAAGTAATGTTACATATTTCAGCACCTTTCTCACTATACCACTCTACCTCAAAGGTCATGTTTGCTCTTCCAGTCAGTAGCTAGACATTTATATCATCTAGGTGCTTACCTTGTGCCAGATAAAACGCAAGATGAAAGACATTATGTTACATCACCAACACCAAAGAAAAAACTAAAAGTTCATAATCAACTTCAGAGTAGAAGGGAATGAATAACCCATGCAGCAAACTGCTTATAACAAGTTGGAAGTATACTTTGTAGAGAAGACAGAATTTTGAGCAGTCTTAAGTGAGGAGTGGAATTTGGAAAAATAGAAAGAACAAAGGGAACACAGCCCAAGCTGAAGGAGCAGCATGAGGAAAAGCGCAGCATCAGCCATTAGCTCCTTGTGGCATAGGACTGTGGGTCCAGAAGGCTGCCTGCAGTTGGCGACAAGGGGAATTACAGTTGTGTCGAGAAAGTGTAGTGAGATGAGGACAAGGCGTGTTCAGGTTCAGCAGAAGTTCAGCCAGCTGCTGACCTCATTTCAGATTCTCTCCTGTTCATATCTGGGGGCCTTGGGAAGGGTAGTCACAACCACACAAACAGCCATTCAATGCACTCCAGAGAATCAAAATGTCTTAGTTTAATAATGTCCTACCACAGTGGTTTTCAAATGGCCTTCTGTTTAGCCTTATTATGTATCACTTTTGGATTTGTCAAAAGTGGGTCAAGAAGGAAAAAAAGAAAGGCTGAAATTCACTCCCCCCACCAAAAAATATATATATATATAATTAAAAGACAGGAGAAATGTAACAATAATGAAGATGCCTATCTTTGTGCATTTCTGTGTTTTTTACCCCAAAGAGGTACAGTACCAATTGCCAACTACTACAAAAGGGATTACATTCATTCAGTACTAGAAGGTTAGGTTTTTCTACAATTCCCTGCAGTGTTTATGGATAGAGCCTGCTTGAGAAAATTTCATTTTATGCCAGGTGGCTTAAGTGAGGCTTCTCTTAATAGGCCACCTTGTATTCCAAATGGGAAAGAAAACTTCTCAGGAAGCACCTCTTTGTGGCAAAACATCTAAGGCCTGAAAACCATTCACATATGGGTCTTGTAAGTAACATCCTGCTCCGTGATACTTTGTGATTGGAGCTAATGACTGAAAAGCTGCATGGCTGTTTTTCCTCTCTTTGAGGATATTTTCTTGCATTATAGTCAATGAAAACCATAAAAGGTCTTTGAAAATCCATAGCATTTCTGCATGAGCTCTTGAGTCTAACGTTTGGCAACATTGTGTAGCATAACCCTTATTTTCAAGGTAATAAGTGCTGAAAAGACCCTACCTTCAGCATACAGATCATGGCATTTCAAATATTGTGGAGTTCTCATGTCAAAAGTCAATTCTACCCGGGTCAATTCAGACAACTCTCAATTATCCAGATCTAATTTACATCTGGCTCTAGGATCCTTTGATGTCTCTCTTTCAAGAGGTTACAGTTCCTGTCCTGCACTTAGTTAAGGTTAATAAGTAGATTAATTTGCTGTGCCTGGCCAAGTTTAATGGTATTTGACCACAAGGAGGAAGTCAGGCTGAAATTTAGAACTCACAAAGTAATTCCAGAGGATAATTGAAAGTTGACTGTAGTTAAATTCATGCCTGTGTTGTTTAAGATTGGCTTCTTACCTTGGATTGAAAGGATTCAGATATGTGTGGCAGCGTTGTGAATTTGTTCCCCATTGAAAGCACTGAACTTTGTCCAAGCTTGGAAGAAATAGTGCTCCCAGCTGTTGGTTTAAAGAAAGAAGACCTCTGGTTAAATAGTAATCATCCCACATTCCCTATTCTTGAGGCTGTAAAATTGACTTCTAGGGTGGACATCCAGTAGAGTCTAAGAATAGTGACATAAGCTAAAAGATGAATTTAAACTTTTAGTCTCTTTCAACTAAATAATACAATTCATTTATTAATTTATCTGGTAAGCATGAATGCTTAAATTGTATATTTAATCATGTGATTGCAGCCTGAGTATTTTTAGCTTTGCTCTGTGTGAACAAATTGACAGATTAATGCAGGAAATCAGTATTGTCTAACATCATTCATTTTCTCTCTTAACGGCCACAAGCAAAGATCTCTTATACATAGTATTTTCAGTCTATTACTTAGCTATAAAAATTGTAGCTTCGCCTCATCTTTGGCCAAGCAATCTGATAATACTTCATAAAACAGGTTATGTCTCCCCTCTCTCTTTGCAGCTAAACATCAACAGTGCCACTTCTGCAATTCTCTGTTCTCAAGGCACCTGGATGGTAACACTGAGCCGTCCTCTCCTCCTCTTCATGCATGTTTCCGAGTGCATGAAGTTGCGAAGGTCCTCTGTGTAATGCCTGTGTGATGCATCATCTTGTCATAGATTCCTTCTATACATTGTTTACACTTCAGCTATGGGGATGTTCCGTGCAAACTTCAGTCATTGTTGGCAAACAATAGGGGGAGGTCAGCAAAAAAAAAATTCCACAATATTCCCGAGTACAATCTAGTCATCCAATTTCTCTATTTATGCCAAGACTTAACAGACTTCAGAATTACCATTCTCTGAATGACAGTTTGTAAGAGAAAAGTAAATTTTTGAAAACTCTTTGCTGTTCATCTGTTTTAGCTTGTTTAACAAAAAAAGGCAAAAAACAAAAAATTACCTTCAGTTTCCTAGTGTGATCCTGACTGCAATGGATGATTTTTCACTGAAAGCTGTGTTGCTGTTAGACAAAGTGGGTTGGATCATTCATGAATGCGGAAGTGAGAATTAGTGGGTTTGCTACTATCTGAAGTCCTGTCTTTTTTGGTCAAACTACATAAACTGGAAAAACTCACATCACTGACAAGTTTGATCAACTTTAGGGTATACGCGCACTGTTCTGGTGAAATTTGCCGAATTGAATTTTTTTGTTCCTTTCTCAAACCTGTGCTTTTTAAATTTTTTCTTCACTTTATCCTATTTCTTTATCACTTTGTTTGCTTCCTTTTGTACCTTTTTTTTCATGCTTTACTTCCCCCCCCCCATTTAGTAGTGTGAGAAAAGTGAAAAATGCATAATGAAGGTAAAATAAAAACTGAGGCCTCTTGGAGGTGGCTGGACTCACACTTTGAGCATCTTCAGGGCCCACAGATGAAGTCAAGAAGAGCTCAAAGGTTTGTAATTCTGCTCTAATTTGGACATAGGGATCCTAACTAAGCTGGAGGTATTAGAACCGTTTAAACTTATAGGAAAGCAAGTAGGTTCCTCATGTACCTGCAGCGTGTCCTACTGAGTGGAGCGGTTGCCAGGCAGAACCCAGCTGGTCGTGGATCTGGATTTTGTGCAGAGGCACGTTCTTCTGCCTCGCCCCTCCTGCGTGGTCACTGGCTAGGCTTCGGAAGTTCAGAGGATGGAGAACACTGCAGGCCTGTCTGAGTGTTTTGAACTCTATCTCTGTGACTCATGGTTTTGTAGCTACTCTCAAGTCGGAGTAAAATTACTTCCCTTCTAGGAGTTAGGATTTTCCTGCTTAAAACAAAGAAAAGGGAAACGTCCCTGTTTTCTTTGTGCTTCTCATTTTCCCTTGTTTATTCAATTCCTGTGGGGCTTTTTCTCCTCCCAAAATGCTTTATAGTGCACGGTCTCTTCACCAACCTTATTTTAACAGCAGTAATTCACAATCCTCAGAAGCCTATTTTTAAAGCAGAGCAAAAAAAAAAAAAAAAAATCAACCCTCCTTCTTTTCTCTCATTTCACATTTCTGTGTTGATTACTAATCACCTTAGATATTGTTACTAGTGGACGTATGGTAGATGGATTGAAGCTTTTCTGATAATTATTACACGATTTAAAACAATATATATTTAAATATATACAGTAAATGTATTGAGCCATGTTAACCTGCCAATGAGATCTGTGAAAAAGTAATGGCCTCATTTTTCCCTTTTTAATTTCTTTTACCTTTTTGTGAAATGGCTATACGTGGCATACATGTATTTTAGAAAAATATTAGGTATAGAGGTTTTTCTTTTTTTTTTTTACACTTTTAGCATGTGGTGTTGAAGTATTACTGTAGATCAATTTTGTCTTCCACACTATGATGTGAGGAAATTGTGATTTGTTCTCTCCACCACAATGGAATTACACATTTATTATCTTCTCTCATTTTGAAACACTGCAGTTTACCATGGGACACTGTATATATTTCTTGCCATAATGGTAAATGACTGATTGATATATTTAAGAGTTAATAAATTTGTGATTTCTGCTGACAATGTGTCCACTTTTATTTCTTCAGGGATACTCTGTTTATGCATGTGTGAGGCGGGCTAGTGCCAACAGCCACACATCCTATATGGTCTTATTATTACAGAATTCACCTTTGACATTAAGATGAAGTTATTGAACTGAGCTCCCCTCTAAGAATGAACTTGGTGATAATGACAATTTACTGTGTTATTTGTGTGCACAAAATAACAGTCTCTCCTAGGAAAGTTTTTCTGAAAACAAAGCACTAGACACGAGAGTCCTAAAAATTTCTGAACATGCCCTCCTCCTAATGGCCGCTAGCTCGCTGCCACTTATAACACAAATCTGACATCTGACTGTATAACACTTCTGGATCATCATCGCCAATATTCAGGCAAGCACCTCATCTCCTGTTACTCCAACTTAGAGTGTACATAAGTACTGAACTTTGTTCAGTTTATTAAAAGCCCTACCACACAAGGTTTGTTTCTAACCTAGAATATTTTTCCCCTACTTTTTCAACATAATTCATACTCGTTCTTTGAAATTCAATTTAGAATAACATCCCCTCCAGCAACCCTCCCTGGACCATGCTGTAAGCTCGCTCTCTCTCAATACTTGCCTAAGAGTTAGTGTTCACCTCTCCTGCCGACCACCTTGGTTTTGGAAATACATCTTTGTGTCTTCTCTATAGGCAAGAACTGTGTGTTTCTATCTGTGAACCCATATGAGATGATGTTGTTAATTACTGAACTGTGGGCAAACCAAAAATGGGAAACTCACAGTGTAGAGTCCTGGATTTAATGTTCAGCTCTGTTGTCTTTGAGCAAGTTGCCTCTTCCCTCTGGACTTTCATTTTCCTATTTATAAAATGAAAAAATACCAATTAATAAGGATATTGTGAGGGTTTAAGGATAATGGATAAAGAGTACCCAGAATAATATTTGGTGGATAATATTAAGTAGCAGCAGCTGTAATTGTTCCAATCACTGATATTAATATTCCCAATGTTCTGGTTATTCCTTACCTAGAGGTGTATATAACTCTTTTATTTTGCTATGAGCTGCCCTGTTTATGTTGGTTTACTGATATTGCTAAGGATATACTCAAGTGGTGCAGCAGAAAAATGAGAAATAGTGATGTAGTCATCTAGCTGAAACTAGGGAAAATGAAAGGGAGTAAATCAGTATATTCTGGGGAAATTCTCAAGGAATTTTAGCCTGAAGTAACTGAAGTTTTGAATCTCTGTATAAATAAAAACTATATATAATGTAAGAAAGAGTAAACACAGAAAGCACAACCTTTTGAATGAGTGATCTCATTAAATAAAACTCTACTGACTTATACAAATGTTTCACTGTTTCCATGGTCGTCTGTCAGATAACAGTGAGGACAGATAGTGGCATACTGAACTATGTGTCCATGGTCTGAATAATAATCAGCAGGCATAAACCACCTGTCTGAGCAGCAGCATGAAGTAGTTACAGTACTTCTACCTTTCTGCCGAAACAATTCTCAAAAGTAAGCTGGCGTATTCTCCGAGGACCCAGCTTCTGCCTCCACAGCAAGAAATGATCTCTGCTTTCTGTCTGCACGCCGCACCCTGGCCTTTCTCCCGCTGCTGGGGATCCTCCAGCTGACACCTCCCGGCCAGCAGGTGCCACAAGTCTCCCCCACCCCGCCTTGCCATAAATCATTTCTTCTACACAGGGTATTCTAGTTAACGCCCGTTTCTTTTCTTCACAGCCAGGTACCTTCAGAGGCCTGCGTGTGCTTGCTGTCTGCCACCTCTCTTTCACGCCCCTCAAGCCCACTCCAGTTTCCCTCACAAATCCATGAAGCAGTTCACCCAGGGTCACCAATGTCATTAATTTGAGGGACCAGTGTCTAGTCTTCATCTTACCAATCTCTCAGCAGCATTTAACACAGTCTACCATCTCACTCTTAGAGAACATTTTCCTCTTTCAGACAATACATTGCCTAATTTTCTTCCTACCATTCTCCATGCTCCTCCTCCGTCTCTAACTGTTCCCTTTTCCTCAACCTGGCTTTTATATTTTGGAACTTTTTTTTTCTATCTTCACTCACTCTCAGAATAATTGGTCCTAATCTCAATGGCTTTAAGTTATGTTCATGACTCTCAAATATGTATCTCCAGCTCAGATCACTCTTAAATTCCAAACATGTATAAATTCCAAACATGTAGATCCAACATGTAGATTCCAGCCTACCTGGAATCTACATTGGAGATCTACTAGGCATCTCAGAATGTGCAAAGCTGAGCTTTTAATTGTCTGTGACAAAACTTGCTCCCTTTACACTCTTTTATATCTCAAGAATTGGCAATTCAGTTCTTCCTTTTTGATCAGGCCAGAAATTTCAATCTCTTAACCATTTGAAATCCCATTATTTTTACCAAGTTATAACCAGAATCTGACCACTTCCAACAACGGCTTCTGCTGCCTCCCTTGGGCCAAATCACCATCATGTTCTCTATACTGTTGGGAGGAAGAAGGCGAAAGAAAAGGGGACTGTACCATTGGAGCAGGCCCCTGACTGGACTCAGTCACTCCCCTTCCCTCGCCTGTCCACTCTTGGGGTGTCTGCTGTGACACTCAGTCGTCTGACTCTTTGGGACCCTGTGGACTGTAGCCCGCCAGGCTCCTCTGTGCATGCGATTTTTCACGCAAGAATGCTGGAGTGGGTTGCCATTTCCCCTTCCAGGGCATCTTCCTGACCTAGGGATCGAACCAAAATCTTGCATCTCCTGCATTGCAGGCAGATTCTTTACCATTGAGCCATCAGGGATTAAGCAGCTTGTTAAAATAGAAGTCAGAGCACGTCACTTCTCTGCACAGAACCCTCCTTCACGCAGGGTGAAAATCAGCCCTGCACGCAGCCTTCGCGGCTATAGACCCAGCACTGCCCCTACACCTTTCTCACCTCTCCTCTGTGAGCGTGCTAGGCGCTTCCACCGCAGCGCCGGTGCTCAGACACTTCCTCAGAGATCCCAGCGGCTGTCTCCACTTATGTTTGCAAAATTAAGTCACTGTCTCAGTAAAACCTTCCCTGACAGTCTTATCCATAGGACTTCAAACCATCTTTTTCAAGACTTCAAACATATCTTCCTTTATAGGACTTCATATCCTCTTTCCTTGATTTTTTTTTCCTCCTTACCATTACTATTTGACATGTTGTTTCTTCATTTTGTTTATTTTATGAGGGTGGAGATATTTCTCCCTATTGTCCATGATGTGCTCCAAGCTTCTAGAACAGTGTTTAGAATACAGTGCTTAATAACTATAAATAATTAAATATTAAACTAAATAATAAACTAAAATATTTTTAGTTGAACAAATAACGGATTGCTCTCGTCTCTGCAGTTAGAAAAACTGAGGCTCCCAGTTCATATGAGTTGTCTCAAAGTAACCCCAAGGATGATAAACTGCCTATATCATAATTATTTAAGGGGAAAAAAAGGAAATATTATTATACAGAATAAACTTTCAGCATCAATACACAAATTTAAAACTTTAAGCTGCAAGAAATAGAAAACTGAAGTCCAAATACTTTAACAAGGAAAATACATTATTTCACAGAACAAGAAATGACTTAGTTCTAGGGCTGATAAACCACCTGATAAATTCAGTGACTTAACAACATAAACAAGGATCCAGGTTCTTCCCATTTTTCAGCTTGTCCTTCCAAGAATATAAACTTTATCATCCAGGTTAAAAGACTTCATCATCCACAATACTACATGACATGGTTCCTAGTGTCATATCCAAACAGGACAGCATCCAATGGGAGGTAAGATTGCTTCCTTTCCTCTACCCCTAACCACTTACCCCCTCTCCCCAACAAAGAAACATTTCTTAGGTCACATGCTTATCCCTGTTCAGCTTAGACTGGTAAGGATGTACCGCAAAGCTAGAGGTGGGCTATTCCCCTTAGAACATGCCTGCCAATGCGGAAGACTTAAGAGATGCAGGTTTCATCCCTGAGTCAGGAAGATCCCCTGGAGGAGGGCATGGCAACTCACTCCAGGATTCTTGCCTGGAGAATCCCATGGACAGAGGAGCCTGGTGGGCTACAGTCCATGGGGTCACAAAGAGTCGGACACGACTGAAATGACTTAGCACACATATGGGTATTCAGAGAAGGGAAGAGAACTGCACAGATATTGGGTTGTATTGCCTTTTTTTTTTTTTCAAGAAGTTTAGAAAACAACATTGTCTGATATAATAAGTATACTGGCAAAGTAAAAAAAAAAAAATTGTTCTTATTGTTCTCCTTTAAAGCTGCTATGCTACGCATGTAACAAGAATGCTGAAAAAATAAAGAGTCATTATCTCCTCCGAACTCTGCATCTCACCCACAGATGTATTGTGTTCTGTCTTGCGTTATGTTCCTAATGTGCCAGTGAGTTCTGTGCTGGGGATTTTTCCCCTCCCTCCCCCTCCCCCGCACACACACACACATAACTCCTTGGAACCGGGAAAGTTTAGTCATTTCACTCCATTTGAAGTTCTTCCAAAAACTCCAGTCCCATAAAGGGCCCATTAAGCCAGGATTGCATCCTCCCCTTCCAGATGCCCCTTTGCCCTGCCCTAACTTCAATGAAAAACTTAAAAAAAAAAAAAAAAAAAAAGGAAGTAAAAGCACTTGGTGCCTGAAACCACATTCAGTAGTCAATTTGCTTCAGTTCTGCTTTTCTTTTTTATTACTTTAAATAAAGTAGGAAAGTGGGGTGTGGTGCCAGGGGAGTGTAACAACTAAAGTAAACATTGGAGATCTTATCCATCATCCACCCACTGGATTCTGCTCACAAAGTGAACAAAAGAACAGACAGTTCATCTCCAGAACCTGTTCCTGCAGGGGCTGAAGCAACGCGTTGCTGTTGTGTGGGAAGCAGCGCTCAGCTGACTGATTTGTGGCCACATGGTGTTATGTGTACAGCGCTCCGTTTTGTATCACTGTCGAAAACACAGGTGACTCAGAGGCACCTTCCACTAAAGACGGTTAGTCACCATCTTTGGGCTTGGTTAGTCACCACAGTCCTTCCAAAAGCCTTAACTCCTCAGACTTGATGTTCCACTCATATTTGCTCTTTGAATATTTTCAGGACCTTTTTCACCCCCAGACAAAAGAACCAGATTCCCTATCCCTCAAACTATCAGGCTATCCCTCAAACTCCCTCCGGGGCACGGGGCTAAGAGGACCAATTTGAAAAGTGATAATCAACCCCACCTCCTACCTTCCTCTCATTCAGTTTGGAAGAAAATTAGCTCATCCACCTTGAGACCACTCTGCTGAAAGAGGAAACACTGAATTTACACAGGCATAAGCTTACAGATGGTCTTCCCTGGTGACTCAGCAATAAAAGACATGCCTGCCAATGCAGGAGACAGGAGTTTGATCTCTGGGTCAGGAAGATCCCCTGAAGAAGGAAATGCTGACCCACTCCAGTTTCTTGCCTGAAAAACCCCATGGACAGAGGAGCCGGGCGGGCTACAGTCCTTGGGGTCCCAAAAGAGTTGGACATGACTTAGTGACTAAACAACAAAGCTTACAGATGTGTGAAGTGAGAGGGAAATGAAGCCTTTGGGACAGCCAGTGGGCACTGGGCTGGCAATTAGACGTGATGAGTGGGAAAGACAAAAGACAAAATGTCCTGACAGGCAGGAAAAAGGCACAGAAGGAAACACTGCCCACTCTGCCACAGGCTCAGTGATAAAACTGTCCCTTGCTGGGAAATCGCCACTGTGGGCTTCTACCTCATTCTTTACCTCCTCCTCTGCTCTCCAACTCATGCTAAGGCCACCAGACTCCTGAAAATTCACACAAGTAAACACATCTTACTTTTGGGAGACATCAGGAAAGAGGTCTTTCACCACCCAATCTATTACTCCTTCCCTAAGAGTCTTGAGGCTGGAGAAGCATTCTCACTTGTACAGTTGCCCCCTGAACAAGGTTTGAAGGGCATGGGTCCACTACAACAGATTTTTTTTTTTTTAAGTAAATACTACATCACTACAGAATACCCACTGCTTGAATCCACAGATTCAGATATGGAAGAAACAAGTATATGGGGAAAGCCAATTGTAAATTATACAAGCGTTTTTGACAGCACAGAAATCAGGGTCCTTGATGGCTCAATGGGTAAAGAATCCTCCTGCAATGCAGGAGACATTTGATCCCTGGGTTGGAAAGATCCTCTGGAAAAGAGAACGGCTACCCATTCCAGTAGTCCTTCCTGGAGGATTCCATGGACAGAGAAGCCTGGCGGGCTATAGCCCACGAGTCGCAGGAGAGTCGGACAGGACTAAGCATACGCTAGAACCCCCACATTGCTCAAGGACCAACCGCATTCTGCTTCCTACGTGACTTCCGTGCTGACGCCATGATGCCACTCAACAGAAAAGGAGGGAGGGCAGGGAAGGAGGGATTAGGAAGTTCTGGGTTTCAGCAGCGTGAAGCCTCAAGCTCCTCCTCTGGGTTTTAATCCCATTTTTGTGCTCCTCATTTGCTCTTTAAAAAGAAAATGTCTGTTAAAAGCAGGAATACACATACTCTCCCAAGAATATTAATTCTTCCAAGACACAGAAAGTGATGAAAGAAATTTTCATACTGATATATGGGGAGGTCCTTCTGGTCAATACATGAGTTACCTTGAATTCCCTGCTGACTCAAAAGGAAAAGAATCTGCCTGCAATGCAGGAGACCTGGGTTTGATCCCTGGGTTGGGAAGATCCCCTGGAGGAGGAAATGGCAATCCACTCCAGCATTCTTGTCTGGAGAATTCCATGGACAGAGGAGCCTGGCGGGCTACAGTTCATGGGGTTGCAAAGAGTCAGACATGATTTAGCAACTAACACTTAAACTTGAATTCACTGTTCACTAAAATTCCCATTTGTGGCGTATCAAATTTGCATTGTACATCTGCTTTAATTATTAAAGAAAAAAACACTGATGAGAAACAAAGATTGTCCACGGTTAAAGATTAAATGCTCCTTCCTGGAATGCCAATGCCAGCCCTCCTTTGGGGATAATAACTCCCTTCTCAGGTGCAAGCCCAGGCTGATTTGCTATGTGCATGCTGGGCTGTTCTTTTAAAACCTTGATGAAACCCTGATGTAACCCTGACATGTTTAATGTTCTTTGTTCTGACAAGATACAAAACTGCTGAAAACTGCTTCTCAGAAAGTGCTGACAGTATTTTCTCAGAGTAATCTGGAAAGCAGGCTTCTAGGCTAGTCCTTCGTTTGGCTCAAACAAATCTCTTTTCTATTCTTATTATAGATTGTTTATTATTTTCACTGACAAAACAAAATGCTTTGCTGGCTGCCTCATGATCACCAGTGGCCGTTCTCTTCTTAACAGATTTGGTTTCTTTCCTCTTTCCCCTCCCAGCTTACTAGAAACACAATTAGCTCTAACCCCTAAAGAATATACAGTGGAAGTTACAAATAGATTCAAGGGATTAGATCTGATAGAGTGCCTGAAGAACTATGGACGGAGGTTCATGACATTGTACAGGAGGCAGGGATCAAGACCATCCCCAAGAAAAAGAAACGCAAAAAGGCAAAATGGCTGTCTGAGGAGGCCTTAAAAATAGCTGAGAAAAGAAGAGAAGCAAAAAGCAAAGGAGAAAAGGAAATATATACCCATCTGAATGCAGAGTTCCAAAGAATAGCAAGGAGAGATCAGAAAGCCTCTCTCAGTGATCAGTGCAAAGAAGTAGAGAAAAACAATAGAATGGGAAAGACTAGAGATCTCTTCAAGAAAATTAGAGATACCAAGGGAACATTTCATGCAAAGATGGGCTCAATAAAGGACAGAAATGGTATGGACCTAACAGAAGCAGAAGAGATTAAAAAGAGGTGGCAAGACTACACAGAAGAATTATACAAAAAATATCTTCATGACCCAGATAACCATGATGGTGTGATCACTCACTCGAGAGCCAGACATCCTGAAATGCAAAGTCAAGTGGGCCTTAGGAAGAAGCATCACTATGAACAAAGCTAGTGGAGGTGATGGAATTCCAGTAGAGCTATTTCAAGTCCTGAAAGATGATGCTGTGAAAGTGCTGCACTCAATATGCCAGCAAATTTGAAAAATTCAGCAGCAGCCACAGGACTCGTAAAGGTCAGTTTTTCTTTCCAATCCCAAAGAAGGGTAATGCCAAAGAATGCTCAAACTACCACACAATTGCACTCATTTCACACGCTAGCAAATTAATGCTCAAAATTCTCCAAGTCAGGCTTCAACAGTATGTGAACTGCAAACATCCAGATGTTCAAGCTGGATT